CCATGCAGTTATATGTCCCTTGCTGCCAGAGAGGATATTAAAATGGCAGGTGGGTTTGGCCGTCTGTCTGACTTTGAGGTCATGATCAACGGATATAAATTTCTTTAAATCAAACTTTATATGTACTGTATTTATACCAATACATATTACAAAACTATTTCAGTCGTGTGATAGTCAATAATTTTCTTTTGACATTTTAGTGCCAATAATTGTCCCTTGGGCTTTGTTGTGGCCTGGCAGGAGACTTCCTCACTTCTACTGTTATCAGTTGATTTACTAGTGCACCAGGCAATGAAATTCTTTTGCAATTGATCAGTGCGTACCAACTAGCTTCCATATATGACTGTTGTGTGGTATGTGTCCTGCAGCAGTATTGCAAATAAATGGGTGATTCTGTAATGATTTAATTTGTATCATAACCTGAGTGCATCTTATCCTTGACACTTTGCACTGACAACTTGGTATTTCTTCACATATAACAAATCTGTATTTGAATACTGTATAGTAATGTACAGTACTGTACTGTGCTTACAGGAGTTGTATAATGAGATTTTATGTAAATAAATGTGTACAGTACTGTGTTGTCAATATGAAGTGGATTTTCCCGAGTTAGTCTATGTTTTTGTTTGACAATTATGTTGCAATAATTTGAATATATACAGTACTGTAGTTACACTTTATTTTACATTAATGCAATACCCACTGTTGTAAAGTGGAAGTGTGTCTGTCTGTCTGTCGAGTTCCCCCACACACACACACACACACACACACACACACACAGAGGGATTAGCCCACCTGGGCACAGGTCACTGACCCACATCAGGGCCTGGGGGGCGAAAATATGATGATGATGATGATGATGATGATAATAATTATTATTATTATTATTATTATTATTATTATTATTATTATAATAATTCAAAAAATAATAACAAAATACCTGTACTGAAAATAAAAATAATATACTGTACTAAAGATAGTAATAACCATAAATAAATACAAAAACGAGAAAAATGAATCAAGAATGAGAAACGGTATACATTATGTATGTTGTGTTGTCATAGTAAGAGAAACAATTGAGACCCAGCAATTGTATGTAAATGAGGAAGAAAGTGAGATCAACAACCTGGGACTTGGTCACAATTTTCGTGATGCCATATGGCAGCAGGGTCTACCATTAGACAACACATTATGCTTCCAATATCTTCCCAGGCGGTAGTACCTCCCTGTTTGATAGCTGTCTGCTACCTACTACCTGTACCTACAAAAGTGGTTGGTTGTCTGGCTGGCTGTAGAGTGGTTGGTATGGTGAATACTTGAGATTTTATGAGTTTATTGTTAACAAATATTTTATACTTTAGCTTAACTGTTGCTTTTCTTTCTTGGTTAAGGTTGTGATGAACTGAATATAGCAGATTAAGTGCATCATTATGGAGGTTCTGTACAGTGTGTCATCTGGGAGCCTCAGTAGGGATATACTTCAGCAATAGGATGAACTGAAGCGGTGTCTGACAAACCCCTCCCTCCTGTCACCTGTGTTGGAGAAAATATACTGAGCCATCTGTGTGCTGTACATTTCCATAGTTAAGAAAAGTAAGAGTTTCACATAATGATTGTATAAGTAGAATAAAGTTAGAGTAGGAAAAGGAGAATTAAGAAGTAGTACTGTAATTATGAAAAAAGGTAGAAGAATCGGGAGTTTCAGAAAAAAGTAGAAAAAGTATTGTACTGCACACACCACTATTGTAACTACTGTACACCACAATAGTCACCAGCACCTATCAAGCATTTAGTACAGTAAATGTAATTTTTTAATGTAGCTTCTCAGTATACAGTAATTTTGATCTAACAATTAGAAATGTTATTAGCTTAAAATAATAATAATAATAAACGGTTTATTAATAGAGTTGCAGCCGGTGGCTGAAAATATACAGACTTACATTTAATTTAGACATAATGATACAATATGCATTGAATACATTTACATGGCTGTGCAGTACATAAATCAGGAGTTGTTTATTATTTTAACAATAGATGGGATGGTGCTGCTCTTGTATCTATCGGTGCGGGCTCTTATGGGCTGAATTTCGTTGTAGTGGCGGACTGCGCGAGTTGGGTGGGGGGCTGCAGGAGGTGGCGAGAGCGTTGGTGTAGCCGGAGTATTCTGCGCCGAGCATGATTCTGCAGGCCCTTTTCTGTACCTTCTCTAGCTGACGTTGTTGGGTGGAGTTGAGAGAAGACGACCAGGCTGGTGACGCATACGTTAGTTTGGGGAGAATAAAGGCGTTGTAGATGGTCCTCAGCTCTGGCGTGGGTGTCCCAAGTGACCTAAGTCTTCGTAGCATGTAGAGACGGTACGAGGCTGCCTTGACTGTGTTATTTACATGGGCCTTCCAGTCAAGTTTGTTGTCTATAGTTACACCCAGGAGTTTGGCAGACTGCACCAGCTGGAGAGGATGGGCACCCACTGTGACTGCTGGGGCTTGCACTGGAGTGGTGGCGGTATTGATGTGCATGACTACGGTTTTGGTGTGGTTGATGGTAACCTTGTTCTCCGTAGTCCATGCCTGTAGCCTGTCCAGGGTGCCTTGGAGCGATGAGTAGTCTGGTGCGGTGTTGTCCACTGAAACCCTCACAGTGCAGTCATCCACGTACTTCCACCTGTGAGGAGTGTCCAATAGAGCGTCGTTGATCAGGATGAGGAAGCACAGTGGTCCCATCTTGGTCCCCTAGGGAACACCGCAGGTGAGGTGTTGGAATGTAGAGACCAAGCCCTGATACCTCACTGCTTGGCGATGTCCACTCAAGAAATCAGTGAGCCATGAGACCAGGTTGGTGGGCAGCCCTAGTGCAATAGCCTTGTTGATAACAGTGCAGTGATCAACAAGGTCAAAGGCCCTCCTGAAGTCCAGGCAGGTGCATTCAGATCACGTGAAGATTAAACACCCCAGCTTATTTCACTTGATTACACATAACCTAACCCAAGCTAAGCAGGCAATGTTTAGTCTTAGGTGATCCATGTATTTGTACATCTCCACCTACGACGAGTCTTCACCCTATTAACTTCGGAGCATCAATCACGTGACCGCTGCACAACACAACACATGTGAATAGAGGCCATACAGCAGGTGTTAGGTGTGCATTGACTCGTACTGACTGTTGTGTCCCAACGACGACGATCATAATAGGGTCAGGTGGGTGTACGACACATCACTTGGTATATATGTCTACAAAGACCATTGATGTTTGTTTATAAAGTCCCTTGATATTTATGTTTGTAAAGTTCATTGCCGTTTGCATTTACAAAGTCCTTTTATGTTTGTTAAAATATCTTGGTAATTGTGTTTATAAAATCCCTTGATGCTTTTAATGTATAAAGTCTTGATATATTTATGTACAGTATAGATGATGATTACAAAATCCCTGGAGGAAGGTACACATCCAGGACGTGGGTGTAATGGTTCATAGACTCAGTCATATTGTGTTTAATGTTGTGTTCTTTGTCATACAGCACAGGCAGCCATGGTGTGTGTTTAACCTCCCCCTTACATTACTGAGTGTGTTGTTATAATAGCTTCAATAATTAACATCTTTAAGGACTATGAATGTAACCATCAAGCGATAGTAAACATAAACATCAAGGGACAGTAAACATAATCATCAAGGGACAGTAAACATAAACATCAAGGGACAGTAAACATAAACATCAACGGACAGTAAACATAAAC